CTTCCTTCCTTCCTTCCTTCCTTCCTTCCTTCCTTCTTGTCGTTGTCGTCTTCTTCCTCTTCCTCTTCTTTGTCTTCTTCTTCGTCTTCTTCTTCCTCTTCTTTTTGTTGATTGTGGGTTTGAACTCTGGGCCTGGGTGCTGCCCCTGAGCTCTTCAGCTCAAGGCTAGTGCTCTATTATTTGAGCCACAGCTCCACTTCCTCCTCCTTTTTTTTCTTTTCTTTTGTTTTTTGTTGGTAGTGGGGCTTGAACTCTGGGCTTACATGCTGTCTCTCAGCTTTTCAGCTCAAGGCTAGCACTCTACCACTTTAGCCACAGCACCACTTCCTTCCTCCTTCTTTTCATTTATCTGCTTTCCTGAATCCTTTTGGAAGTCATTGATCATTTTCAACACTAGACTTTTGAAGTCTGTTGCTTTTTGGAAGTACTGAGGTTTGGGTTCAGAGCTTCAAGCTCTTTTGGCTAGCTCATTTGGCTGGGCTCTAACACTTGAGCCCAGACCTCCTTCTCAGCTTTTTGTTTTTTTTGCTAGTCATTTCAGAGATAAGAGTCTTGTGAACTTTTCTGCCCAGCTGACTTTGATCTTCCAGATTTCAGCACCCAGAGAATCTAGGATTACAGATGTCAGTCACCAGTGCCTGCCTCACTGACTTTTGATTTCTTTGTCTAGCTTTTAAGCATCTCAGTATCTTCGGCATTGGTAATTCAATAGCTATCTCCCGTTGCCTTGACTTCTCATATTTCTTGTTATTTGTATATTTGTTAGGATGGATAACTTTTTCAAGTTTATATTAGGATATTCTTAATGAACTGCCTTCTCTTGAGGGCTTACCCCCCAGTGCTTCTCAGGAGAGTTCAAAGTATTTTAACAGTAGCAACCCCAAAATAAATGAGATATAGAAAGAAAAATAGTAAAATCAATGAATGGAAACCACTATCTCACCAATAACCATACAAAATAGTGACAAAAATAATGTAGAATAAATCATGAAGTTATTAAGTAATAAAGGGAAGCAGAATAACTAAAACATGAAATAAATGAGTGGCAGGTAAAGGGGAAAAAGAAGCAACAAAGTAAACAAAAGAAAAAGAAAAAAAGTAAAAGCATGTGAGGAAAAGGAAAAGAGCAAGAGATGAAAAATCTTATAAAATAGAAAAATATGTAAGTAAATTGGATAAAGGTAAACACAAGTAATTGTATTAAAAATAAATAGGAGCTAGAAGCTATGCCTGTAATCCCAGGAGGCTGAGATCTGAGAACTGTGCTATGAAGCCAGCCCAAGGAGGAAAAGTATGGATTCTTTTTTTTTTTGGGTCCAGTCGTGGGGCCTGAACTCTGGGCCTGGGCGCTGTCCCTCAGCTCTTCAGCTCAAGGCTAGCGCTCTACCACTTGAGCCACAGCACCACTTCCGGCTTTTTTCTTTTTGCTTATGTGGTGCTGAGGAATCGAACCCAGGGCCTGAGGCATGCAAGGCAAGCGCTCTACCACTGAGCCACCTTCCCAGCCCACATTTCCAACTCAAAAATCCCATCCGAGTCACGGCACCATATGTAAGGTATATTAAGTAGGTAGATTTCATTAGGTAGCCAATGAAGAGAACACCACATGCTATTCAGGCAGGAAAAGTTTATTTACTGAACTGCTACCCCTGCCATGCATGGTGGAGAGGCATGGCTGAAAAGGAAGTGCTTTTCCTGTTTCTTGAGTTTATATAATATTTGTGCAGCTGGTGGAGCATTTTAATGAAATGGTCTTAGTAAGTAGCTTTCTCCTGAAGATGTTTCTTGGGGTTTTGGTTTGTCATGCAGTGTTGGGTTTGATTCTGGGCACACAGTATCTCCTCATGGTCTCTTTGACTGGGCATGGTGACTTGGGCAATGTATACTGTGGTGGAGGCCAGAGACACATTGTCTCTGTGTGGTGCAGGAGTTGAGACACTGCAGTTGGCACAGATGTGGTAAGGCAGCAGGCAGCAGTGCATGTGTGGTGCTCAGTGTGGGGCTAGTTCTCTGTGAAGCAAGGTGGTTTTCTCTGTTAGCTTTGCTACTTGCCAGCACCTTTGGCACTGACTCATCCCAGCAGTGATGGGAGATTGAAACACGTCCTACAATTGGTCAGTGGTATGTGCCCAGGCCCAGGCAAGGTGGCAGCAGGAACGGGAGAGGCCCTCTGGGGTGCTACCCTGTCTTAACAGCAGTGATTGGTTGGACAAGGTGTTTTGTGTGTGTGTGTGTGTGTGCATGTGTGTGCGTGCGTGTGCATGCGAACAGTGGGAACTGTTCAGGAGCCAAGACAGCAGTAGCCATGGTGCTCTGCTCTGCCGCCTCGGTGGACCTTGGCTTGGTCCTGGTCAGGGGCTCTCAGTGCAGTCTTCCTGGGTGAACAGGGATTGTAGTGATGGCTAGGGCTTTTCTCCTGACTCCTCCAGAGCTTATGCACTTGGAGTGAGACCAACCCTAGAGCTGGGCTAAGTTGTCCTGAGCATCCTCTTTGTGGGTCAGGGTGACAGCCAAAGCCAGAGGTACTTAACCCCCCTTGTCACCCCTGTGGTGGGACAGTAACAGGAACTGTGTTGTTCCCTCCCCATCCTCACTGAAAGAAGCACCAAACATGGCATGGAGGTGGGCAGGAGTGAGCCCTGCCTGCAGTGCTGGCACTGCCATGCTGTTGGTCCCGTATGGCAGCTTCCCCTCTGATCAAGGGCAGTGGGCACTCTGCTGGTGGCCTTGCAAAGCAGCAACTGCACAGGCCTATGGAGACCCAGAGATGGGAGTATGCAGGATTTCTGATCCCTAGAGCTGCCCAGACTCAGACAATGGCTCTCTTCTCAAGATGGCTCCTGGCTACAGAACCCTTGGGGGGTGGGGGAGACCCTTTCCAAATCTAAGCTACTGTGAAGATTTCAGCTCTTATCTCAATGGGCTTCAAGTCTGAGGACTGTGGGATGTTCCTGTAGCCAGCACTGCCAGTATCCCCACTGAGTTTGCTGGGGCTTCCACCTGTCTATAGATACTCCTCCTTCAACTGTAGAGCAGAGGTGGCAGATGTGGGAATCTCTGATGAATTGTCTCCTGCTAATCTCAGTGTCCTTCTAGTCAATAACCTCAAAGTGCAGCTATACACCTCAGTCTTTATGGAGTGTTGGGCACTTTTAGGTTGTCATTTTCTATTTTTTTGTATATTCATAATTCTAAAATTAATTCTTGATCTAGCACTGTAGTAGTGCTAACAGATTTTCAACATATTTTGTGCATGGTCAAACTTTCAGATTTCGCTGTTGGGTATGTTGCCCCTTAATTCCCACAAGTGATTTGGAAAACCTAGATAGCAGCAGGAACCCATGTTTGTACTTTTTCTCAAGTACACTGTAGTCCTCAACTCTGCTAAGGACTCTCTCATCATGGGATGAAATTAGAACTTAGGAAAAAAATTTGGCTGTCTCAAGCGATAGCATGATAGAGGATATCTGTCATACCCTACTGAAGTAGTGTGATGATGAAATACTGTCTTAATGAGGGTTTTTATGAAGGTTATAGGGTTATAAACCTTTATACCTTATTTGCTTTGGTGGAGATTCTCAAGCCTTAACTATATCTTGACTCTACAAATGTACATAGGAGACTGTGCCAACAAGATTGTGCAAGGTCAGTTATCAGCCCAGCTGTGCAACATAGCTCTGGGTGTATGTATGCTTCTATTGTCCCCTGAAGGGACAAATCATAGGTTGTTAAAATCACATGTCTGGTTCAAATGAATTTTAGTGGAAATTAGAGCAAAGGTCAGATTAAAAAAATCACACCATATGGTGATTCAACTAAAATAATCTCTCTTGACTTTCATTGGGGGTTGATTTCATATTGATGTTCAAACAGAACATTTATGTTCAGCGTATCCTCGTTAGTTAGCAAAGACTAGCTTTAAAATAGACCTGAAATATGAGAATGAAAACAGCAAGCTGGGGCAGGCAAGCCTCTGAGAGATTAACCCAAATAGATAGATGCATCATGGCTTGCTGACACTTGTCTGGTATCCAGGCAGACTAAAGATCTCATTTAGAGGAATTGTAGACTTAAAATTGGAAAATGCTTGACATACTTTGCGTTAAAAAGAAAAAAAAAAGCCTTACATTTGTCAACTTTTCTTCTGCAGCTTACAGACTTAGCTAAGTCTGCCCCGAGCTCTCGCTGCCAGACAGTTCATGCTGGCATCTCGATGTGGAACTCCACCTTTCCTGCCTGTCTGTGGCTCCTTCCCTTGGATTCACAGAGGCCGCTTCTATCTGGCCTGACTTTGGGGTAGAGCTCTGCCAGTTTAAGTTGCAGGGTAAATGGCTGCTTCCAAGTCTCCCAATCTCTATAAGCTCAATGCTTTCCTGGTTGACTCCCCCAATCCAGAACTGAAAGGGGCACCTCTAAGCACCCTCACTGTGGAGCTGCTCCTGGGTCTCAGGAGCCAGGTTCCCCAGATTCCTTTGACTCTTAGGTGTTCCTCTCACACACAACCTGCTTCTCCATGGCACAGTGTCTTCCTGTTGTCCTGGGATTTCCTTAAAGAGTTGGATATAGGCATTGATGAGCTGGACAGGCCTTGTCTTGAGAAGAGCAACTAGATCTGCAACCAGCTAGCCCCTGGGCTCTGAGTGGTTTATCAGCCAGGTAACACTTCCTCAGTCTCTCAGCGGAGACAACCAACATATCCCCATGTTTTAGCCAGATGCTCAACAAAAGTAAGTGTTCAAAAAACATGAACAACTTTTTAGTTTATTTTGGAGGCCTTTATGTTTGAGATAGTGGCAGAGGACAAAACTATCCCTAGAAACAGGCTTGAGGTCATTCTCTATCAAGGACCCTCAGTGGTTACCATGGGAATTTCATTATATCACAGGTTCCAGCCAAGACAAATCTAAACTGGTCTGTCAATGCCAGAGGGTAAGGCAATGATACCAGGGCTCATTGTGCTGTCAGAAGAATCTTGTGTATAAAAAAGCAAAACAAAACCATTCAAGGCTTTTGAAAAAAGCATCATTTATTTCAAAGTACAACACAAAGTTGTATTTTTAAGAAATACACATTCAATCTTGTATCAAGACTTGGCTATGTGCATTTCAGTTTATCTTTAAAATAAATTCAGGTATACAAATCTTACATACCTCAAGTACAAACAGCACAGAAAATGCATATGGTCTCAACTGAATGTTTTTACATTCATCCATTGTTCTTAAGTTGACTTACATTTCTGTAATCTGCTTTTAAGCCAAGACAGTCTTACTTTAAAAAAATACTCTATTTTCAGCACAAAGTCCTCATACATTTTTAAAATTAGATCTTGGCGCATAATATTGTGAAATTATTAAAAAACAAACTTGGTAATTTAGTAAAATTGTCACATGCCAGGACTTCTGAATCAATTCAACTTACTCCCTTAGCTGTAATGCCAAACTTGTGTTCATACAGTTTATAAAGAAAGCATGGGAGAAGACAAGTGGGGAGAACTGGGAAGCAGTTAACGTTTTCAGATGGACACTTCTCAGTGGTCTGTGGCTGAGTCGAGACTTCTCTACAAGCACAACAGCAAATCTCATAGTATCATAATTGCAAGAAAGATCTGAAAGAAGCGAGTGGAATAAGCCTGCCCTGCTGAAGTCTGTTTTGCAAAGATGAGGAGGGTGGGGAGTGGGAAGCAACAGCAGTAAGAGCCTTAAAAAGATGTCTCAAAAACTGGCATATCATGATCTAGATGAGGGGCCCTTACTTTTGTTTGTTTTTGCCTAATTTCAAGTTCAATTCTCATGAGGGAAGTGTGAATTAGACCAAGGGTCAGAGCTTCTTCTTCCAATTGTAGGGCTCCATATCCGCCAGGGGTTGTAGGTCTGTCCCAAGTCGTCGGATGGACTGGAAGTGGAAGGAGCATGGGTAGCGGGTGAGTTTTCTGTGCCCATGAGGCTGATGCCTGACAGTGTGTTTGCTGGAGTGGTGAAAGGAAGGGCACTGTTGAGGTTACTGGACCAGATTGAGCTGCTGAATGGAGTGGAGGACCACAAGCCACTGGTATTGCCAAGGATTGACTGTGACAAAACACAACACCCCAAACTGGGCATTAGAAGAGATAGGCAGGAAGCGAGTAAAGAGTATGTACACAAAATAAGGCTGCATCATATGTCTTTCATTTCACCTACTTTTTCTCTGGTACCAGTGTTTAAACTCAGGCTCACACTTGCTTGCTCATTTGGCACTCTACTACCAGAGCCATACCTCTAGCCTGTTTTTTTTTTTGCTGTATTATTTTGGAGATGGGAGTCTCTTAGACTTTTCTGGCTGGGCTAACCTCAAACGGGGATCCTCTGAATCTCAGTATCCTCAGTAGCTAGAATTATAGACATGGTGTCTGTCTTATTTTGCTGAAACCACATTTCATAATGCTACGCCAGAGTCTGAGCAGACAGTTGTAATCTTCCAAAGAAGGGCTGGCAAACGATGGCCTGGTTTTGAGAATTCATCTCTATGGGCACCAGTGAGTTACCTATGTTCTGGCTGTGCTATTTTTATACCTTGATGGTGGAGCTGAACAGGTGCTGTGGAAATAGGACAGTCTGCAAAGCTTCAAACACTGACTTCCTGACTCTTTTTGAAATCTATGAAAGTAAAATGTGTGAGGTAAAATAGCTCCAGTTAAATCCTACACATCTAATTTACTTTGCCTGACAACAACCAAATAATTACAGTGGGGTCATATTTTTCTGTTATAATATTGTGGAGACGAAACCAATCATTGTTTTTCTTGGTAAGACTTTTCTTGACTTTTTTTGGAGGATAATATTTACAGAAAAAAAGTAGAGAGTGTTACTTCTTAGAAACAAAATACATTCAACTTTCTAGTTTTCTTCTTTGTGGACAGTGAAGCCATGGTCAGTGCTCACCTGAGCCTCTGATGGCGCAACACCTCATGTTCTAGTACACAGGGTGGGAAGAGGCTGGAAAACACCCCTGTCTACTAGGTAAGAAGCCAGGGACACTTAGGAGATATAGACAAAGCAGTGGAGATCATGAAACTACTACCCACCCATTTCACAGTGTTTTTTTTGTTGTTCATTGACTGTCTGCAAAGGCCTAGGCCTTGGGTACTCACAGAGGCTGAGTGGGTTTGGGAGCTAGCAGTTGCTGGCCAGGAAGGGCTGGGATCTGTTGCTGGAGAGTCCCAAAGATATGAAGGGCCACTGTTAAACTCATTCCAGCTTCTCTGTGAGGCCTGATTGCAGGATCGAGATAAACCAAGCTTGCTGAAAACTTCTGAAAGTAAAGAGACAATCATTCAGTCTATATTTGATTTGGCTGTAATCACTAGAACTAGACAGGACTCAGTGACACACACCTCTCTGCTGCTCACTTGGAGCTACCACACACTCAGAACTCTGATCCATGGCACACAATCTGCATTCTTAACCCATATTCATCATTAGATGACTTCAAAATGCAAACATTCCTCAAAACTGACCTTGTAGCTAATGTAAAACCAACATAGAGTAACACCTAATTCTAGATAGCAAGAAAAAAAGAGGAGGCACCATGGCACATGTGAATCTTATGTTAGACCAGAGTCCCTCCTGGAAGCTCCTAAGTACATGCTGTGGAGAAGATTATCAACCAGCCTGCACCCTCAAAATGAGCCATCACAGGAAGGAGGGAGGAGGAGGAGAGGGAGCCTTCTATGTGGGTGGCAATGATGTGTATATAGCACACAGACATCCTTGAGGAACTGTATGTGGCAGGCTCTCGCAATCGCTCTAGGAAAGCAAGAAGAGAACCTGCTTCCATCACATCACATCACATCGACCTTTAAGTGTTTGACTGCAAGTGAAGGAAATGTACTTTAAATACATCTGCTCAAGGGGTGGCCATGCTTCCTCTTTTCTTTTTTTTTGGGTCTGGTCGTGGGGCCTGAACTCTGGGCCTGGGCGCTGTCCCTCAGTTCTTCAGCTCAAGGGTAGCGCTCTACCACTTGAGCCACAGCACCACTTCCGGCTTTTTCTTTTTGCTTATGTGGTGCTGAGGAATCGAACCCAGGGCCTCAGGCATGCAAGGCAAGTGCTCTACCACTGAGCTACCTTCCCAGCCCAGCCATGCTTCCTCTTATGTAGCTTGTTTCTTTCTTTCTTTTTGTTGGTCATGGGGCTTGAACTCTGGGCTTGGGCACTGTCCCTCAGCTCTTAACTCAAGGCGAGCGCTCTACCACTTGAGCCACAGCGCCACTTCTGGTTTTCTTGTGGTTTATTGGAGATAGGAGTCTCACAGTCTTTCCTGCCTGGGCTGGCTTTGAACCATGATTCTCAGATCTCAGCCTCCTGAATAGCTAGGACTACAGGCGTGAGCCACCAGCACCTGGCCTGTAGCTGGTTCCTCTTAACACATCAAACCACATCTCTCCTGCTCCTTCATGTTTGTCCACAAGCTTATTAAGTTATATATCTAGTGAAAAACACTCACCACCGGTAAGATTAAAAGAATTTCCAAAGGCCGAGAATGAATTGAGAGGGGTGAAATCAGGGCTGCTTGGATTGCTGACAGGACTCCATAAACCCGAGCTAAATGTTAAAGGAGGAATATGTAACACACAAAATGTAAAACCGTTAATTGGATCCATCATTCACAGCTTCATACACAGGAGTGCTGCTTCAAATGGAGACTGCTCAAATATGAGAAACAAAGATGAGGAGAACTGCAAAGTGGCTGCTACACTGTGAGGATTAGGTCATAGAACTAAGCTCCTGGCACCTTCCTACTTCCTACTCACTGAGAGCCTGGCTCAGAGCAAGTGTCTTATTTATGTTTACATCTTTTTTGTAATGGAAGGCTTATTAAAAAGAGATTTCAAATATACGCTCACCTGTTACTCGAGCAAGGTAAGCTGTGGCCCTTACACCTCTGACAGGCTTTGTTCTTGCTATTTGCCTCAAAAACCAACTGATATGACTGCTGATGTCACCAAGTCGCTGAGTGAAACAAGCTGGGCTAAGAAGCGACAAGGCTAGTAATTTGCTGTAAGTGGTCTGGAATATGCTTCAATTTCCTTCCTCTGAAACAGGCTTCAGTTTTCTACTTGTAAATCAGACCATAATAACAGATGAATGAACAGATTTTGATTCACCCATCTTCTGGGCTGAGGCAGGCCACAGGTGCCTCTTCCCTCACTCAGGAAAAGAAAACTGGTGCCTGTAGATGGGCTTCTGAGAGGCCAGTGACCACTCTCAAAAAGGCTTCCTTGTAAATGAGGAAAAATGCTGAAACCATGCTTCTACCTATGGGAAGAAGATGCTAACCCGACCCAGGGAATTTCTATTGGTTAAGAATGGCCTACTGTACCTGTCTGAGCCGTCACTGTCAAGAGGAATGTGTGAAATGCCAAGGCTGCTGGAAAAGTCTGTTTTGTTTGAAGAAAGTTTAGCAAAGCCATTCCCACCTGCAACAATGGAGTTGTGTTAGTGAAAAGCAAGCTGAGAGGAAATCCACTCACTGTGCTCGCCCAGGTCTCCAGACAGAAACACTCACCTGGGCTTTTGTCATAGCCAGCTGTGACTGCAGCAAAGGTCGGGTTGCCATTTTTACCTGGGAGTGAGGCTGCTTTTGTCAATTTGCTTTTGCTTCCGTTAGGCTGCTTTGTTTTTGGGTCACTTGGGGAAGAAGCAGAGAAAAGGGTGGAACTGAGGGTGAGTCTTGGGAATTGTGGGACCCTATAGTGGGAACCCTGTGTATGCTTTGCTAAGCTGGGTTCAGGTCTTGTGACAGCTCAGTGCACAACTGAGTCTCATGGAAAATGCCATGGGCTCAAGACTGCTTAATGAGGTGAAAAAGGGCTTTCCAGGAGGCCTATGAGAACAACCATGGAGGGATCACAGTAAGGGACTAGAAAGGAGGGCAATCACATTTTAGAGAAAAACACTAGGAAAGAAGTCACTGGGCAGAGAAACATGCTGTCAGAATGGGAGCTTACTGACAAGCATCACACATAGGTCAAATCTGTTTGGGGAAGGCCACTTCACTGTAGTGAGGATTGAAGGGTTCCTTTTCTTATCTCTTGGTGGCTCTGTGTATGGAATCCAAGCCCTTGCTCATGGAAGGCAGACACTCTACTGTTGATGTACACCTCTAGGTTAGTCTCTGTCTCTTTTGACAACTGTGGAAGACCCTAACACTAAGCCTGCCTACAGGATGTGACACATTGGTGCCTGCGTGATGCTGAGCTGCCACAAGGTGAGACCACACTCCATGAATGTTATGTGTTGGGCAGACACAAAATGGTGCTGTGCTCAATGACCATGGCTACTGTGTCCCCCACTGCCACTTGTCTGTGTGGTTAGACAGTTGCCAACCTATGTGCTCACTCCATGTAAGCAGGAACTTGTACAACACAGACGGTCTTTGCCTAGATCTTGGCCTTTAACCTCCTGAGACCAACAATCTGAAGGTTGATATAAAAAGGTGTTACATAAATCCATATTCCCCATTCATGGAGAACCTTTCTAGAGTTTCATTTAATGAGAACACAATTCTGGTAAGTTAAAAAATGTACTTCTCATTCTATGGTAATGGGAATGGGCAGATTAGTATAGGAACAGGGCCTCTGGAGCAGGAAGAACTGATCCCAGGTAGAGGGTTGAATAGCCAGAAAATGAGTGTGACAGAAGAGCCCTGTGGTTGTGAAACATCTCTGTGTCAGGGGGACATCAATCAGGTGGTAGAGCCTACCTGTTTGAGCTGTTGTTGACGATGCTGCTGTAGCTGCCCCGGGATGTGAACAGGCAAGGGGCAGCGGGGGAAGATGGAGAGGCAGGTGTTGGTGAGGTCTGGCGTTGTTTTAAGAAAATGTCTGCGTTGAGGGTTTGCAGAGAAAGTTTATAAAGACTGTCAGTAGCTGGAAGTGAAAATAAAAGGTCATATATTAATTAATATGTATTTTTTATAGTCTTCAAAAGAATTCAAGTGCTTCTGTATGAAAACAAAATGCTTATATGTTCTGTTTAATTGTTTTGAAGAGAAGGATATCTGTTGTCCCCTTCTGATAACCTTTCTTGTCCTCTCCACCTCAAGGTGAGCAGCTTTCTTCTGCCATTCCCTTCTATCATTATGAAAAAAAAAATCTGTCTTTGTATATACTTGGGGCTTCTAGGAAATCCCATGCCACCCAATAACAAATCCTCAAAGAAACAACTACTCCATTAATAAGTGGGCCAAAGAACTAAAAACTGAGAGAAAATAAGAATAGCCAATAGAAACATGAAGAAATGTTCAACATCTCTGGCCATAAAAGAAATGGAAATCAAAACAACATTGAGATATCACCTCACTCCAGTTAGAATGGCCATCATCAAAAAACCCAAATAATAACAGATGCTGGATGGGATATGTCCAAAGGTAATGCTACTGTACTGTTGGTGGGATTGCAAACTGGTTCAACCACTCTGGAAAGCAGTATGGAGGTTCCTAATAGAGTTCCCCTATGATCCAGCAATCCCACTCCTGGGATTTATCCAAATGATAAAAAACAAGGCCACATTAAAGCTACCAGCGCAACTATGTTCACTGCAGCATTATTTACTATAGCTAAGATACAGAACCAACTCAGATGACCCTTAGTAGATGAATGGATCAAGAAAATGGTGTGTGTGTGTATAAAATGGAAATCTATGCTTCCATCAGAAAGATGACATCACCCATTTGTAAGAAAATGGAAAGACTTGTAAAAAATCATATTAGGTAAAGCCAGACCCAAAGAAACATAGGCACTATGGTTTCCCTTATTTATAATAATTAGTATATGTCTAGGATAGTCCTAACAGAGGATTACAATAGTTCAATACCTATGTAGATGTGACCATATAAAATGATGCTAATTGAAATGAACTCCAAGATATGGAAATGAATTTTGTTTTTGTTTTTAATGTACTGTGTGAAGTTATTTTTTTCTTTCAGTTTACACTGTTGTCACTGTTTTTGATTTTGGTACCCTGTGTCTTATATATGTTTATCTGATTTGGGAAGGGAAGGGGAATAACAAAATGGTGAGACAAAGGACAAAGGGTGAACCAAAGCAACGGCGATACTCACAAGACACTATGTTGGAAATGAACTTCACAACATGGGGAGGGGATGTGGGATGGGGGAAGGAAAGTGGGAGAAAACAAGGGAGCAAGGGAGAAGGTGACAATGTTTGACAAGAATGTAACTGTAACCCCTCTGAATATCACCTATACAATAAAATTTTTTAAAAGTATGCAGAGCTAAAAAAAAATTGGTCAAGTTGAAAATGTTACCTTCTGTAACAGTGCTCCAAGTTGAAAGAGAAGACAGGGGAGGAGGAGGCCAAAAATTGCACAGGGAATATACAACTAGAGAATTTTTTTTGCTTCAAATATTATGATTCTTTTGCCTTTAGGGCTTTCTATTTACCTTTCCACTTTTTAAGTTATGGAAAACTTCCTTGGTATCTCATGTGGTACAGAGCCTCAAGGTAAGGGTCACTACTTGGGACAGTTAGATCTTTCATCAGACTGTAGCCCTATGACACCACTTCATCCTGGCTGGAACAGTCTTAAGTGGGACAACTTTCTGGGTTCAGCAGGATAAAAGATCAAGGGAGTAGTGAGAAGAAGGGGAGCAGATGAGGTAGGCATAAGGGCAAAGGTACAAAGACAGTGAACTGGATGACTCTTTGGGGCTTCCTCTGGCCATGGCTAGTCAATAAAGCCCGGCAGAGCTTTCAGTAAAGCTGGTGTAGAGCAAAAGCTAAAGGGCTGATTACAGGCTTGGGACCAGGCCAAATTGTTCCTTGACTAGAACAAGGATTAAAGAACTGTGCACAGTGGTTTTGGTGACAAGCTTTGCCCGGAGGCCCCTACAGCCTTGTTGGATAAGCAGAGAAGGATGCAAAGGCAGTCACAGCCCCCAGCTCCAAGAGCTGCTGCTCTAGACCCTTGCCTTCCACTTCCCATTTCTTCTCTTTATATGGCATGGAGATGAAACCCCATGGGATTAGACCCTGTTGTCTTTTCTTCTCCATCCCAAAGGAGCCACATTAAATGTGGCTCAGTGCCTCCTGGTGGCATCACTATCAGTCAGCTTCAATATCTGGAAGGCTGGCACCCCTCTCCCTGGTGCTCAGTTTCACAAACTAGTGGTATTTCACAGCAGAGCGTGCTTATCTGCCAGGCCTCGGAACAATCCTAAGACACTGGCTATGGGAAAATCTAACAGCCATGTTTATTGGGCACCTCACCACAGCATCCAGCTTCTTTGCCTTCATTAGCTTACTCAGGGCTTGTCATGTACACTTCATCTCAATTTCCCTTCACCTTAAATGATCTCATTGTTCAACCGGATTCTTTAGTCCTCTTCATTTCCCTTCAGTACAAATGGGCCAACTGCAAGTCCACTCTCACATGGGCAGACAGAGGTCCTAAGGTTAGGGTGACTACCCCTAAAAACTGATCTCTTCCATTTTAATCCAAAAGTTTCTAGAGGGTGAGGACTTCTACCTTATTTTAGTAGTCTGTGCTTATTGTCTTGATTTACCACAGGACACATCTGAGAAACAAAGTCAAGAAGATAGTAAGAGCAATCATAAAACTTTCATGTAGGTTGTTTCTGTAAAAGTTGTAAGGTTAATAGTAAACAACTTTTACAAAGCTAGTCACAGATAAAGAACTGCTGATTTATTATGCTTACAAAGCAGACAATTCTTGGGATGCCTAGACGGTACGGTTGGTATACCAGCAAAATGCCTCAAGAATCTTCTGCTGATCTCTGAGTAAACATTCTACCAGGGCTAATTTCAATTTCCAGTAGTGTATCTACTGGCCAAATGGTGTAAATATTGGCCCCTTTAGCTGCATCAGGTTGGTCCCAGCAGGCTACTGACAATGGATAACCCACACTGTAGTGTTCATGCCCAGAGTGGAGGTGGGCTGTAGGAGAGGGGAGTATGGTGATTTCTAAAACCTGTACTTACAACTGCCGGGCTTGTGAACTGGTACAGCATCCCACTCTGGTGGAGGAGAGTCTTTTTCACCCTCTGAACTACTGGTGTTGCCTAGTTCTTGACTGTTCGGAAGAAATTTTGCCAGGGCTGGTGGTCTGTTATCTATTAGCTTACTTGTACCTGCACAGAAATCAGGAAGAAGTTGTTAGAGTAATTCTCCCCCTTCAGGTCTGTTTCAATGAAACTTCCAATGATGATAAAATATAGATTTGCCTTATGACTAGTAACTGTTGACAACTTGCAACAATTATGAAAACAATGATTCAAGAATGTATCTATAAATAAAGTGACAATACCTTTTGTCTTCTGGGAATTTCGTGGTTTGGATCCACTTGTCAAAGCAGTTGGAAGAGGAATCTTGGTTGGGAGATTTCTACGTTGTTTACTTTCCAATGATGGAGTATATGATAGTTCTAAAGAACTGAAAGACAATCAATGATGGAAAATTCAAACTTGTTGTTTTGGAACAGATTGTAGAAATAATTAAAGTCATTTGAAACTGTGATTATCCTGAGGTAGGTATGACCCACTTATAGTCCCACAATCTTAACCTAGATACTTGGCACATGCAGATTTCCTCTTTGTGTTTCTGAATGCCAACAGTGTGTTGAGCTGCATTATCTGTTAACAGACTAGGAGTTAGAGTGCCTACTTCAGAAATGTGTACAAAGCTTGGGTCTGACTTGCTGTGTGGAACAGTAAGGGCTGCTATGGGTGAGTCTCTTCCTCTATCATACCACTTGTGGGACTTTTGAAGATATCACAGGTTCTACCAGTCAAAACCCTGAACACCTTTTCCCACAGAAACTCTTAAATGAGAGGGGACTATGTTCTGGACACTGCAGACAACTGACAGAACTTCTTGTCAGTCAAGGCAAAATGGTAGGCTGGATGGACCATTTTAAGTTTCCACAATCTGATAAAAAAAAAAAGACATTAAATCTTGGAGGGAGACAAGCAATTGCAGATAAAGAATCACTTAGGGCAATGAACTTAATAGCAGGCACACACAAAGCAGCACTACAAGCAGAGGAACTACCTGGATAGCAAAGCTGCTTCTGTGATGTCCACTAAGATCACCTCTTGGACTTGGGGAGCCCTGGGAGGAGCTACACCAATACACCCAACGAGGCTATTCCACAGAAGGTTGAGCACAGCTAAGGAAACTCAATGGACCCCCCTTGGAGCTTCAGTGATTGCCACTGAACCCAGGATGGCTGCAAAGCTGGCAGTACAGGGCGGAGTTGAGAGTTTGACAGTTTACTTTTCTTTACACATCTACAAAATTTGTGTACATGTTTTAAAGATGTAAATCTGGTATTTTCTACCTGTCCCTATGCTTCAAGTCCATTATGTACTTCATCTTCTTCCTTCCCTCATTCACCACAATGCTGCCCATTTGTGCTCTGTTCTGGGTCAGAGACAAACAGTGGTTCAAAATTCCCAAACCTAACAAAACAACCTCCACTCCACACAGACCAAGAAGGTAAATTCACAGAGTGTGATCTTATAAATAAGGACATTTTATTGTTGTTTTTTGGGTCAGTTCATGGGGCCTGAACTCTGGGCCTGGGCGCTGTCCCTCAGCTCTTCAGCTCAAGGCTAGTGCTCTACCACTTGAGCCACAGCGCCACTGCCGGCTTTTTTCTTTTTGCTTATGTGGTGCTGAGGAATCGAACCCAGGGCCTCAGGCATGCAAGGCAAGCGCTCTACCACTGAGCCACCTTCCCAGCCCAAATAAGGACATTTTAAAGACAGCTGTTTACAAACACTTTATAAGGTGTCAAAGGATATTTTTATCCTTTTGTTTCTTTACATTTCTAAAATTTCCATAATAGATAAGTGAGAGCTAATCTAAATTCAGAGGATTGTTAGCAAAAAAATAAGTAGAATTTATAAAAATGAATGGCAGGGGCTGGGAAGGTGGCTCAGTGGTAGAGTACCTGCCTTGCATGCATGAGGCCCTGGGTTCGATTCCTCAGCACCACATAAGCAAAAAGAAAAAAAAAAGCCAGAAGTGGCGCTGTGGCTCAAGGGGTAGAGCGCTAGCCTTGAGCTGAAGAGCTGAGGGACAGCGCCCAGTCTCAGAGTTCAGGTCCCACGACCAGACCCCCCTCAATCCCCCCCAAAAAGAATGAATGGCAGGAAATGGAAACAGGAGGTTTTTCTCTGTTTTAAAAAAAGAATTTTAGGTAGGAAAAAATTCAGAGTTTATTGGAAAGACCACGACTGCTACAGCATTATAAAATCTCTGTCCTCCTTCCACTCCAAAAGGGTTATTTTAAAACTTTGCTTTCTAAAAACAGCCAGAGGACACAGATACCCAATCTTGTTGGAGGCCATGTGGGTTGTGGGTTATTTTTAGGTAAGTTGTCTAAGTGTGGGGATGGGGATAGCTATTTATAAGAACTTAACTCTGCCACTGTAAAATAATTGCTTTTAAGAAAAAAGGTGGCAGACTATTTTATTTTTGTTGACTCATCTGTTTTTAAGAGAGATGATCCTCAGCCAAATCTTTATTAAGGCTTCTAAATAAAATGGGTAAGAGCCAAATTTCTTGAGATAATTCTTTCAAAGGAAAGAGAGAAAAGTGGTTCAGATGCCAGGTTTGATTCCTCATGTCTAGAAAAGACAAGAAGCAAGAGCGGAAAGATAGTCTTCCTGTGCTGATTGATGGATCTTGGGGAGGTAGAACAGGGTAACCATGACCTTTGAGCTGAACACTGCATGCAAACATTACCAGAGAGAGTACTGCCAATCTACATGCTAAACTTCCCTCTGTTTCCTGGAGATTACAGTTATGTAAACATGTGAGTGTTATGAGACTACGATGATCTTGTGGATAGCTGTGTCCTAAACAGGGATGTCCAACTGGTTTCTTTTGGTGCCTGAGATTTAATTCCTACTTCCTAGCATCCATGACTTAGAATAGTCACTTGGAGGGTTATAGGCCATTTCTGTAATATTAAAGCTGAAAAAAAAATTTGTTAGACCAGATTTCTGTCATTGGAACCCCATTCCTACTCCTAGGAGCTTACATTTTGGAGTCCATTTTTGGAAGTGTGGAAGGATAGTGCTGTGGAGATAGCACCTGAACCTTCCTTTGGCCTTTTTCTCTCTTACAAGGCTTCCTAAAAAAAGTGATGATACATGCCTTATGACATGTCTTTAAAGAATGTGTGCACCTTTCCTTCAGATACCTGGAATCATAATGGATGGGAAACTCGGGTATCACTAAAACGTGGGCTGGCCATGATTCTACCTGAGTGACAGTGAACCATATTTACTATTACAACTCAGTAAACACAGAGAATGGCTCTACTCTGAGAGGCAACTTTTCTTCTTTTTTATTTTTAAAGTTTTTATTTATCTAAGTGCATACTTGATATACTAATGAATTCTGGTTCTCAAAACTTTTATCTTTAAATTCAGAAACAAAAGATTAGTGAATTTAACAAGATTAAGGAGATTAAAAACAAGAGACTGCATATGGATTTTTCCAATTAAAAAAGACAATTTAACTTTTACAATAAAATTTACATAAAAAAGACAATTTAGAGGACCTTACTTGAACTGTTGCTTGGTAATGATTTATCTTGTAACTAACTAGATAATCAAGGACTGGGTGTAGCTGAAGGGGTTAGAGCACTTAACTAGCATGAGCTGTGCTCTAGGTTCTGTCCTAGCACTGAAAAAAAAATTACATTGCCTAACTACATATCAGGAGACTATGTATAAACTGTCACTTGCACAGACCACTCTCACCGCTGGTTAACATAGTGGACTCAAGTGAAGTTTTTTAGACTTTTCAAATTAAAATATGACAATATTTCCTCACTCATTTAAAAAAAGGAGAACAATATAAGCCAGTGGAAGAAGAATAGGGTTAGGAGAAACAAGTCCAGCCTCAGTCTCTGGTACTAAACTCAGGCATCAGGACTAGTAAATGGCCGAGATGGTGACTGTATCTCTAAGAGTTCTTAGAAACTTTTTTTTTTTGGTTGGTTGGTTGGTTGTTGGGCTTAAACTCAGGGCTTGGGTACCCATCTTCTGCCCAAGGCTAGTGCTCTATCCCTTTGAGCCATAGCTCCACTTTCAGTTTTTAAGTGGTTAATTGGAGATAGAAGTCTCATGGGGACTTTTCTGCCTGGGCTGGCTTTGAATCATGATCCTTAGCTTTCAGCCACCTGAGTAGCTAGGATAACAGATGTGAGCCACTGGCATGCAGCTAGAAGAATGGATTAAAAAAATTATGATTGTAAGACCCATAATGTAAATCAATTTATACAATATTTCTAATCATGTAAGAAGTTTTTCATAATTTGGATTTATTAGCATCATTTACTTTAAAATATCCCATAAATCATCTTTTTAGGTCTAGAAGAAAAAATCCCTCAACACTAGGTGTAGGATGCACTGAGATGCCTCAACATTAAAACTGATCAGTGTTTCATACTGGCTTCTCTCAGGAAAGATACAAGCATTGTCAATCTCCTTTTCAGAAGAGGTGGTCTCTTCTCCCTCCCCTCAAATGGTCAATTACTACTCTAGATGACATTCCTACAGAGCCAGGCTGTTTCAACAGAATGTGAGATTGTATAATTCAAATTAACAGTTTCCACAAAAGAGTATAATTTTCATCCACATGCCGTTTTCTAAGCTTCAGGTTAAGTAAAATTTTTCTGTTGTAATCACTAATTTCTTATTCTCTTTTGGGTATAAAGAACAGCACTGGCAACCCTTGTCTGAGGCCAACTGTACAATCCAGGGATAGAGAATAAGTCAATGGTGTTTCTCTCCAGTTAAGTAGTCTCAGAATTAGAGTAAGAACAGACCTTCCACAGATCTAAGATCCAAACTAACAGAAACAACTATGTCTTCCTTCTTAATTTATACCCAATCCCTTCGATATCCTGGATATCACTATCAATAGCTATCAGCTTCCATGCTGTTGAACATTTTTATAATCAACTAGGAAGGGAATTATCAATGAGCTTAAATGGAAATTGGTTTATTATGTAGGTGTTAACCAAAGGTTTAATGAAAGTATGACCTAACTTTAGTTAATAAGCCAGTTATTAACTGGGAAAGCCTTCTGCAGCAAGCCATCAAAATGGTGCTTGACTGAGTCCTCTGTCCTAAAGACTGACCCGAGTCATTTCACAGCAGAACTCTAATTGGGGAACATTTTAAAAGAATAAGCTCCCAAGTTTTATGACACAGAACTCTAGATTCCAAGTGCAGCGCTGGGTAAGTCAATAGATTAAGAGATTTTTTTGTTTTTGAAAAATCATACTCATACCTATATCTGGGGCACAAGTGTACTCATGGTGCACAAGCTCTCTGCTTGGAAACAAATCATACCTAAATTTCTACTACAGATAGCACACTTCACTCTCTATATTCCTGACATCAGAAGCACATGGTTGTTTTAATCAACCACAGCGAACACATTAGACATCAGGAAAACCCCAAGAGAAACTGGAGGCAGTGCCCAGCTTTGCCACGAAGCCTTACTTTTACAAAGCAATAAACCAGAACCAATACCAGTGTCTCCTTTTAAACATCTTATTTCTCTGCAATCATTTTTTTTCTCACCTGGATTTCACATCTGTCAGGATTTCTTTCTTAACATTTAACAGTTTTTTGCTTTTTTGCTTCACTTGTGATATTTCATTTTCATGTTTTTCAGGCATGGCTTGTTTTCCTTTTTGCTTTTCTATATCCTGCAAAAAAAAAGCATATACTTAATTGCTGGGAATGATTAGTAAAAATGTTGAAATTAGTCCCATTTCAAGATTCTGACACAAAACTTAAGATGTAACAGATATACAAGTCATATGCATAAAGAATCTTTTCCTGAAATCTGCTGTGTGGTTTTGTCTATTTTCTAGTCCTTTTTTTTTTAATGTCAGTCTTGGGGTTTGAACTCAGGGTATTTCACTTGCTGGCCTTGCTCAGTCAGCACTCTACAAATTGAGTGATGCCTCCAGTCAGCTTTTTTGCTGGTTATTTTGGAGATGGGAGTCCCTTTGGCTCTGAATCAAGATTCTTTGGATCTCATTACTAGAATTACAGGTGTGGGCCCATGACACTGAGGTCTAGCCATCTAAAATTATTATAGTTATGTTCCCATGAGGCTAAGGAGGTCACTTACATTTATACTCATATCCTATCCTGATGGGGTGGGTGGTGGTAATAGTGGCAGTTATTAGTAACATCTTATTTTTCAGTATTGAGGCAAAACCTTGCATTCATTTACAAGAAAAATCCATCAAGGACTACAATATAAAGTTAAACACTTCCAGCAATGTGCCTAATCCTGAGCACAAAACTCAGTCAAGAGAGCATTTAGCATATATTCTACTGCAATTGATAACAGAGTGTAGCTACTGTAATGCTAACTACCACTCCCTTCAAAAGGAGGGCCCAGATATTCATTCACTTATTCCACATACATTTACTGGCTACCCATTTGGTGCCAAGCAGTGGAATTACCAAGATGGGCTAATCTCTTCCCCCAAATGCTGTGAAGTCTAGCAGGAAGGAAGCATACATAATGATAGACACACTGGCCAGATGGAGCATAGAGAGGCTGTCTTGCCTGAAAAGCAATCCAAGCTTCATCTTAAAGTCATGCTATTCAATTGACCCACCAGCTGCTGTTTCCAATTCATAGCTAGAACCTGTACTACAAGTTTTTAGGCTAATCTGACCATGTTGTGGCATGAGTCACACAGGAGTTCAGAGGACTTGGCTCCTGAGCAGGGTGTGTATCTACTTAGGGAATGGTGATCTGACCTGAAGAGAGGCACGTGGGGTGGACTGCATACTAAAAACAACCTGGTTCTTTTCCAAAGTTGCTCAAGAAGAATGGGTTAACTGGGACACAAGCAAGGACATACTTAGCAAAGGGGGGCCAGCCATGGGTGTGAGGATCAAGCATGTGGTTAGCATGTGGTTATTAGCACCTACCCACCAGCTGTCTGGTCTCACAGTATGTGGTTAGTAAGATAACCTAGATTTAACAGGCCACACCACGTTAGTCTATTTAATAGTTAGGAATAAATAACCAGTGGTGGGGCTAATACCCTCTCCACCCATGTGTTCCTTTTTTGGGGGTGGGTACCGGGTTTAAACTCAGGGTCTCATGCTTCATAGGTAGACTGTCTAACATTTGAACTACACCCTCATCCTTTTTTCTCCCCCTAGATAGGATCTCAAGGTTGGCCTGGACCAGGATCTTCCCACTATGACTCCCATACAGGTAGGATCACAGATATGTGCCCCTATGCTCAGCTTATTGGTTGCTCATTAACTTTCCCCCTCCCCCCTACCCCGCCCCGCAATCTCTGCTTCCTGAGTAGTTGGGATTATATTAGTGCATCACCATGCCTGGCCCCTTTTGAGACTATTTAAGAAGTATTTTCTGAATCTTTGATCAGGTTAAGCACCAGACCTACCACTTAGGTGCACAATAGAGAACAGGGCTGAAAAGATGCACAAGAGATATTTACCTAGTTGGAAAGAAAACATACAATCTACACACCCAAGAACAGTCTCAAAGAAATAAAAGCACATAACCTCCGCTTGAGAGTGCTGAGGAGGAGTGATAGAACTCATGTGAGGGGCGGGGTGAGCAGGCATGGGTTCTCCAGAAGATGAGCTCTGAGACAGAGCAGATGACACGGAAAATGGGTTAGGACAAGGACAGGAACAACAGAGGCCAGAATGATACTGGGTTAGATGACATGTCAGTCAGACAAAGGGCACTAGAAGGTGACCAGTAAAGAGACTGGAAAGTTAGGCAGGGAGTGTGGAAAAGCCTGTGCTGGACATGCTTTCCAAATGCTATTCATATAGTGGAAATTGCTGAGACTTCATTCAAGATTAGTAGGCGTCCCGATTCTCTGGTCATTTGTTAGATGGATTAAAAAAACCATGTAAATTCAGCAATTGTAAGACCTGTAATATAGTAGGCAGACCACCACATCAACTGCAAGGAGATGCAAGGGGAAAGCAGTTGATGTGAACAGTAAGTTACACATACCCTTCAAGAAATTAATTCATCCAGATGACTATTGGGTATGCTTAAGTCATTTCTTAGGCCACTAGATTAAAACTGAGAAAGAGATCCTGGACTGTAATATTAAAGCTTGTATTGAGATAATTTCAAAAGTAGAATATATTCTTTTCAAAAATTAAAAACGTTAAAATTTTAATGTACTCTCACTTTTTTGCACACCAGTTGTAACTCACACTGCTGAACACATTCACAACCATAACATCACCCTCACTTTCTAATGCCTGCATGTAACAGGCATTTGCAATATTATTCCTGATGCTAATTCACCAACTATGAGTTGAGACTCAAAGTGGGTAAGATAGTATTCTCCATTGTGTTGCCAGGTCCTGGGCCTGGCCCCCGTTCAGGAGACAATTTATTATGCCATACTCTGGAAGAGCCACTGCTTCATCTGCCTGGAGCGAGGTGCTACCAGAGCCCTGCTTCTAGCATTGTGATGTAATGAAAATCGTACAATTCCTTCTCATGATTTCTCTCTCTCCCACTCTCCTCCTTCACTTAAGGCTAGTGTTCTATCATTTGAGTGAGATACAGCTCTACTTCCAGCTTTTTGGTGGCTGATTACAGATAAGAATTTCACAGACATTCCAGCCTGGGCTGGTATCAAACCACAATCCTCAGATCTCAGCCTCCTAAGTAGTTAAGATTTATAAGCATGAGCCTCTGGTGCTCTGCTTTTGATACTTAAAACAAAAAACATTCTGTGATGCATACAATTACTATTCCATAAATTCCCTAACTTTTTTTTTTTTTTTTTGGGTCTGGTCATGGGGCCTGAACTCTGGGCCTGGGCGCTGTCTCTCAGCTCTTCAGCTCAAGGCTAGCGCTCTACCACTTGAGCCACTGCGCCACTTCCGGCTTTTTTCTTTTTGCTTATGTGGTGCTGAGGAATTGAACCCAGGGCCTCAGGCATGCAAGGCAAGCGCTCTACCACTGAGCCACCTTCCCAGCCCCTCCCTAACTTTTAAGAAGCACCAATTATGAACTTTACTACCATGATTCTAAATGTTGTTCTCTAGGGGAAGTAAAATCAACCAGCTCCAAAACTGGGACAGGTTCTGCAGAGGATGACTTTTTAGTCATGCAAGCATACTAAGAATGAATTCTTGGAACATGTGGACTTGATATGTAAAATATTAATTTTATATTAAAACCAGGCCCCTTCAGATACATTCCTGTTCCCTGTGCAGTACTCTGTGAGCTCCCTCATACCTCCTTGAGAAGTGGTTCTGTGTCGGGGTTGGAGGTCTCTGTGGTGGTGGAGGAGCTGTCATCGTCAGCGAGGGAGTCCTTTAGCTCATCCTCCTGAGGCTTTCCCTTTCCTCTCTTCTCTTTGTCCTCTTGCTTCTTCGGTGGTTTAACCTTACGCTGAAGAGGTTTTCCTTTCCCTAGGGATAAAAATGGAAGTAAAAATCTTAATCTTTAAATACTTTAGAAAACAAAGGTATTATAAGTTTGTTTTTGAAAAAGGTTGGACTCTTCTCATTCTCTCCTTATTAATAAAGATTCCTTTCTTACTTATTTCTTCCTGATTTTAAGGTGTCCAAATTAGTTTTGAGATTGTGAGTAGATTTTTTTTTTTTTTTTTTTTGCTGGTCCTGGAGCAACTCAGGGTTTGGGTGCTGCTCCTGAGCTTCTTTTTGTTCAAGGCTAGTTCTCTACCACTTCTAGTATCCTACCACTTGAGTCACAGCTCCACTTCTGGCTTTCTGGTTAGTTAATAAGAGATAAGAGTCCTAGGGACTTTCCTGTCTGGGCTGGCCTCAAATTGCATTCCTCAGATCTCAGCCTCCTGTGTAGCTAGGATTATAGATGAGAGCCACTGGTGCACACTGAGTAGCTGTTTTTGTTGTTGTTATGGGGCTTGAACTCAGGGCCTGGGCCTCTTTGTGCTCAAGGCTAGTGCTCTGAACCACAGCACCACTTCTGGTTTCTGAGTGGTTGAGAGTCTCATGGGGACTTTTCTGTCTGGGCTGGCTTCAAACTGAGATCTTCAGATATCAGCCCCCCGAGTAGCTATGATTACAGGTGGGAGCCACTGGTGCCCAGCAAGTAGATTATTTTTAAAATTGAGGGCTGGGAAGGTGGCTCAGTGGCAGAGCGCTTGCCTTGCATGCATAAGGCCCTGGGTTCGATTCCCCAGCACCACATAAGCAAAAAGAAAAAAGCCAGAAGTGGTGCTGTGGCTCAAGTGGTAGAGCGCTAGCCTTGAGCTGAAGAGCTGAAGGACAGCGCCCAGGCCCAGAGTTCAGGCCCCACGACCGGACCCCCCCAAAAAAATAAAAAAAATTGAGATATATTTTATATACATGGAACATAACCTATCTTAAGTATATTACTGTTCGGTGACTTTGGATAAAGTTAGTAGACTTGACAAATAAGTGCCTCTGTCTCCACCTCTGGTGGAGCTTTGATAAGTCATGGCAGTGAAAACCAGAGAGCCTTGAGATGGAAGCCTAGAGGTGACACAGAATGAGCTTCCATGTGCATTACTTGGAGGGTGCTAAGAACCTCAGCCAGAGAGCCATAATAGCTGGTTCCAGCCCTGGCTTTCTGGGTAGCTGTATGATATTGATCTCTCAGGTATAAGACAGAGACAAACCCTCATAGGGTTGTATGGAACAACTACAAAAAGCCCTTAGTATAGCAGCTCGCACAGGAATAAATACTACGTAACGCTACACAGTGTATGGACAGAGTAAAACTGACTAGGAAAAGCCTAGTATTTTAGAAGATCTGGATACTACCAAGACAAATGATAACTATACCACAATATATTTCCAGACTATAGTCCATGTGCTGGAAATAAAATACTGAGCAGCGTAATGTTGGCCTCATGGAGGTGACCTGAGGACAAGATGGATATACAAAAATAAAAATCCTCTCATTTCAGAACCTCAGATTACACTTGCAGAACTTCTAGGCATGTGGACAGGTTACAGTGGCACTGGCCACCAAATGTTAACGCATTCTGTGCAGGTTACCATTTCTAAACACATCTTTAAAAGAAACAGTTTGATGATTTATCCAAAGGAATGCCACTATTAATTGGTACCAAAGACTCAAAATTTGGCATCTAGAACAGAAGTTCTGGCCTGTGTTGTGCTTTGGATGATTTGAGAGCTGACTATAAAAAATAGCAACAAAGAAGAATTTGCAGCACAGGTTGTGGCCCATTCAGTCTTAGACACTTACTACTTGACCCTTTACAGAAAAAGTTTACTGAGCTTTATCTCAAAAAAGAGTAAGTTAAGGCACTACCTGATTTTGGGAAATGTCATTTTATCACTTACTTCACACTGATGAATGAGGTATTAGATTGGAAAATGTAAGTGGGATGTTAAGTCTGGGACATTAGGGTTCTCCCTGTCAGAAGAGGGCAGCTAGTTGGTTTAGTTATCATAGCTCTTGTACTTCTAGGAGGGGGATTTTTGCTAAGTACCTTAAGATAGAGATTAGACCTTACCACTCTTTCTACTCTTGAATAGTGCTCAGGAGTGCCTGTCAAGCTGCACACCTCAGTTCTGTGTTGTCTTAACATTAAAACACACTAGAGGTGTGACCTATTGAGATTTGCTACCATAGTTAAAATGCTTATCCCATCTCAATTCTTTCTAAGTAACTTATCCCATCAATAAATAGATCATATTAGCTTTTTATGAGAGGCTTTTCTAGAATTAGTGATCTGGCCAATGAGTGTAAGATTACACTACAAATCTCTACCAATGGCTTTCTAATCCTATTTCAGCCTCTATGCTTACTAGAGCTTGAGGCTTACTCTAACTGGGAAACAAATTCTGATGTTACACTTTTGGTAAGATTGGATTGTTGTGCCTTCCCCTATTTTTCCTGCTAAGCACATAAAAATCTTTGGACATATACATAAACACTGAGTAGCCCAGAAAGATGAAGAGAAGGTAACAGACTAGAGAAGGGCACTTTTCTTTAGTCACAGATATCTACCCTCAAACAACAACAAAATACCCAACAAAAGCCAGCTGTCTTTAATGATTAGGCTGGGAAGGGGGCAATCCAGACAATCACTCTACTCCAGCCAAACATCACAGTAAACACTGTGGTCTCATTTCCAAGATGCCAGCCAAAGCTCTATGGGAAGAGGAGACTTCATCCTTGCAAAGTTATAAACAGCACCCCAAAAAACCCATCATGGAGGTGTCAGAGAGAGCTGAGAAGAGTCTTTTATTCCCAGTCAGTTTGGTAAAGAGCTCCTACTTTACCAGGCACTAAGGAGTGAGCCTTTTACTTCCCTTCCCTATTGAGATAGTGCCAGAGAAGACTGCATGCCTGAGAATTTGGACTTTCCCCAATGCCCACTGCCAGTGGAAATAACCTGGGAAGTCAGAACTTTCAACCCCATCTAGGAATTCTAACTTGGAAAGCAGGAAATCAGCTTTCCACCCGGCAAGTAATAAAGCCCATCCCTCTGTCCTTCCCCTGCTGGAGAGGTATCAGAAAAAGCTCACTAGCATGTTAATACCCCAAGAGTCTAGGTCTCAATCTAGTCATTCTTCGTAACACGAACCAGGAAGCTCTTAAAAGTAAACGACAGAATGTGGCTTAGTGGTAGAGTGTTTGTCTAGCATGCACAAGGCCCTGGGTTTGATTCCTCAGTACCATATAAACAGAAAAACCAGAAGCAGCACTGTGGCTCAAGTGGTAGAATGCTAGCCTTGAGCAAAAAAAAGCTCAGGGACAGTGCCTAGGCCCTGAATTCAAGCCCCCGGATTGGTTTAAAAAAAAGTAAATGACAAAATAACATCAATACCAAGACAACAAATACAATGGAATTATTTGATGAAGACACTCAGGCAACCATTCTAAGTGCTTCAGTAAGCAATTTTGAACATGCTTGAAATAAATGAAAGAATAGAAAGCCTCAGCAAAGAAGTTTATGAAATAAAAAAGACAGAAATTTTAGGTAAGCTATGAAGAAGATATTTCCCCAAAGATATTCAGATAGTAAAACAAAACAAAACACATGGAAATATGTTCAACATCATTAGCCATTAGGGAAATGCAAATTAAAACCACAAGATATAGTACTACAGACTTATCCAAATGGCTGAACATATAATGATGGCACCAAATGCTAGTGAAAATGCTAGATCACTCCTGCAGGACTGGTGGCAATGTAATATAGCGTTTTAAAAAACGAAACATGCAACTATAATATGACCCAATTAATTGAGTTCTGGGTATTTATCCCAGAGAAATCAAGTCCTATTTTTATATAAAAATCTATATACAAGTATTTATAGCATCCTTATACATATTAATGTGAACAATCCAAATATAAGCAAATGATTTAAAAAACTATACTCATTAATCAAGAGAAGAAAATGGATAAGTCTCCAGAGAATTATATTTAGTGAACAAAGTTAACTCAAAGGGGTAACATACGGGCTGGGAAGGTGGCTCAGTGGTAGAGCGCTTGCCTTGCATGCCTGAGGCCCTGGGTTCGATTCCTCAGCACCACATAAGCAAAAAGAAAAAATCTGGAAGTGGCGCTGTGGCTCAAGTGGTAGAGTGCTAGCCTTGAGCTGAAGAGCTGAGGGACAGCGCCCAGGCCCAGAGTTCAGGCCCCATGACTGGCCTCCTCCCCTCGCCCTGAAAAAAAAGGGTAACATACTGTTTGTCTGCATTTTTGAATTTTTTTTTTTTGAGGTACTGAGGGTTGAGCTCAGGGCCTTGTTTTTGCTAGGCAACATTCTTGAAATGACAAAACTTTACAGAAATGGAGAACAGATTAGTGTTAGGTGCTAAAGAGTAAGCTGGGTGGGGAAGGAAGTGGTTGTGACTAGACAAGGACCCATGAGACATCCTTGTGGTATAGGAAGTACTGTCTTGGCTGCATCACCACTATCCAGGTTGCAGTATCACAATATAATTTCACAACATGTTATCATTAAGGAAAAAATGAGTAAAATGGACACAGGATCTTGTATTATTATTTACAACTGTATATGAATCTACATCTCAAAATATGTTTAAAACAAATATCTATGCATGTATATGCACATGTGCACGTGTCTCATTTAACTTTAAAAGCAAAAAGAATGTATAAAGAATTATTGACTATAGTTTTAAAAACCTAAAACACACATTTCTTTCTTATGCAGATAATAGGTCCATTAGGCCTGAAAGCCACTCTTCCTAACTCCAACTTTCTTCTAAATATGCTATGCCCCAAACTGGAATATTTTCATCTTATATCTTGTCCAAGAAAGAAAAATAGCTGGCTTACAAAAGTCTACCTTACAAGAAGACATTGCTATACCTTATTTCATTCATTGAGAAAACAGACTATAACATAACTTATGGAACTGGACAACACTTTTCTGTCAAATCCTTAATCACAGATATACAC